GACGGCTCTTCCCAATTGCCTCACCAAGGAGGACAAAGCGGGGGTATAATATACAACATGTCCATATGGGTTTTTTTAAGCAAAAGAGGAGAAAATGCTCATTAATTAGGCGAGACGATTTAGACTGCATTATACACACGAAGCACGACGTATGTTATCATGTGAGTAACATGAAAGCATACCCATCCTCCGAAGTATAAGGCAGTTGAAGATCGCCCCAAATTGATTAAGGCGCGTTTTGACTAAGCAAAACACGGCTATGAAGCGGCCACACCCACGAAGGAGAATGGTGGCTCTTCCCAATTGCCTCACCAAGGAGAACAAAGAGGGGGTGCAATATGCAGTATGATGTATTAATGATTGAATTCGTAGATAAAAGAAGTAATGACGTTATACATGTACAACTAAAAGGCTCCGGGTCAGGTGACTGAGTAGCAGAGCGACCCCTCGCGACGCGTGATCCCCTCGTCAACATAGATAATCTGCAATGGGAACCAACAATTCAATCATTCGGAGAAATTGGGAAGTATAACATTAAAAAGGGAAATTGTGAATCTTTGATTGAAATTCTACGAAACGGAATTTTTCAGTTAAAGGTCCAATTAAACCTATACAACACCCTCAATTCAAGATAACGTAAGAAGGAAATCAAATATGCAAGTCAAGCGAATTAAGCGGCTCATACATAATCGAGCATGAAAATTCGAAGGGAAAATCAAGTTGAAGGTCGCAAAGTCAAACACAGGGTCTCGACCACGTCAACATACTGATTCACAAGCTCATGGAATTGTCCGAAATTAGAAGCATGGATATTAAATTGAGTTTCAGAATCCTGCATATATGAGTATGGACAACAATTAAATGATACCAAACCATTTGTACAACCAAGCTAAATTCCAGTCTTCATTTATCCTCCAAAGGCTTGGCACAAAATTCCTACGGCAAAGATTCATACATACAAGGGTGGAGGCATCCAAATTCAGCCCATTTTTACACATAGCCCCCCTCAAAGTTCAGCCCATTTTTACACATATGCCCCATCAATGTTCAGCCCATTTTTACACATAGCCCCCCCTCAAAATTCAGCCCATTTTTACACATAACACCCCTCAAATTTCAGTCCTCTTTTTGCACATAGCCCCCTCAAATTTTGGCCATAACACCCCTCATATTTTAGTCCTTTTTTTGCACATAAAACCTCCAAAGTTCGATCAATTTGACAACAACATCCTCCACAATTTCGGCCATATGTATATGCATGAAATTAAGAAAATAGTGAAATCAAAGGTGAGGGAATCCAAGCTCAAATTTTCGGCCACCTCTCAACAAAAAAAAATCAAGATTTGATTTTTCCCCAAATCAACAAACTAGGGTTTTGGATTTTAAAGAGTTCGAAAGAAGGGAATCAAATTGAAGTTATGAGGGAGAGAGGTTCTTACCAAAGCTTGAAGAAGTGTTGAAGAGGAAGCCTTGTTGATGATGAAGCCCAAGATCCTCCAAACCCAACTTCCCTTGCTTGAAGCCTTAGAGAAGATGATAGCTTGAAAGAAAGAAGATGAAAGCTTTGAAGCTTTAAAGAGGAAGGGGTTAAAGGCTTTGAAGGAGAAGAGGATGGAGTTCTTGGGGAGGGAGAACTCAAAAACAGCAACAAAAAAAAAGAGAAAGGGGGCAAAAGTTGGGTTTTGTAATTAGGGATACTTGGTTGAACCGAACCCACATGAACCGAACCCAAAACTGATCCAAACCAACTCAAACCAGGTTGAACCGGACCGGACAAATCCTAATTTGTTGATTCACACGCGTGTGAGCCGCGAAATGTGGGCTCGCGCGTGTGGAGGGATCTGGGGATAATTCATGTGCATTTTTAACCACTTTTCGGGTGTTTCTCGATGTATTCAACACCCGTATTAATACTCCAACGGGAATACGAGTCTAAACTGTTTCTCACTTTTGACGGGAAGTTCCTGAAAAATATTACGCGTAATATTCTTAAGGATAACCCGGCAACCTCCGACGGGTACACGAGGATAAACTGATTCCCGAAACTCCTAGGAGTACACGAGTATAAACTGGTTCTCTTTAGATTAATGCCGGTCAACGTGTTGCAATGAGGGTCAACGCCGATCGATACTAAACCCTAAGGCCAACGCCGGTCAACACGTAGCCTTGGGTCAACGCCAGTCAATGCGTTGCGATGAGGGTCAACGCCGATCAATACGAAACCCTAAGGCCAACGCCGGTCAACGCGTAGCCCTAGGTCAACGCCGGCCAACGCGTTGTGATGAGGGTCAACGCTGATCGATACGAAACCCTAAGATCAACGCCGGTCAACGCGTAGCCCTAGGTCAACACCGGTCAACGCGTTGCGATGAAGGTTAGCACCAATCGATGTGTAACCCTAGGTCAACGCCAGGCAATGTGTTGCGACACAAATAATCAGTGCAAAGTCAACTCAACAAAACGAGTCAAAATCAACTCACCAATTCCGATTCGAGACTTCGATAACGGTCAGACGATAAACGCAGCACCGGAAGAATTTTAACTGTTCAATAAAATACTGAATAGACTAAAATGTGGAGAAGTTAAGAACTAAAATCAGTTATAGGTCCCTTAACACCGACTGAAGGTGTGGGCCTATCACGTCCAAAGTATTTCAGACTCATCTCTAAGGTAATGAGACTGAAACACTTTGGAGGGAGTATCTATAGGCGTCTAAAAATGCCTGTATGTTCCCGTATACGGCTCGAGACGAAGAGGAGGCGATAAACGTCATCATCTAGGTCGTGAAGGTTTATCCGAGCTGCCCGTGTATTCATCGGCCACCGTCAAGTAGCCCGTACGCTCAATGGTCACCCGAACGGCGAACCAAATATCCCGTGCGCTCACCGACAATTCCGTGCACTCACCACCTAGTTCCAAGCATCCTGCGTACTCACCAGCCACCGTCAAGCGATCCGCGTGTTCACGAAATGCGCAAAGCGAATCGAGGAAGTGTACCGGTCGGCGAAACAATGAAAATACACATAAACGACGGAACGAGTCAAACCTAAGAAAGCCTCTAGCGGCCGGATCGCGTCAAAACGATCCGGTCG